CGCCATATGCTATGTCTTTTGTGCATTTGGTGAGTAGTGGAGCAGGCCCCACTGGACGTATTCGTAAGAAAACAAAAACAAAAAAACGAGAGAGCCACGGGCATGTTCATCCTAACCCATAACTGCGGACATGCGGACCTGAACGCCAATCTTCAGCATATATTGGTGGTTGGCTGGCTATAGAACATGCAATTTGCAACTTCTGCGAAGCTGCGCGGGGCAAGTCGTTATTAGGCGACTACCCCTTCTTGCGAATTGACCCCACTACTGTGTGGGATTTGCAGAAGGCAACGGGAAGGACAGCTCTCATACCCCGCCTAAAACGAAAGTTGGAATGAGCCCTATTTTGTGCCTCGCCATTCGAAACTTTTTGGGGAAGGGTTTGCGGAAATCAATTTTTCAGCAGCCCTTACCCAAAAGAAAAGTTCGGGCCGTGGGCGCGGCCTGTTTGTGAACTTGCGCGGTGAGTTTAACATTTTTGCCGAGTTGGGGGCCCTAAGAAATTAGAAAACCCCTACTTTTTTTTTTTTTTTTTTTTGACCTAATTTTTCAAGTGCGCTGCGCTTCTGTGCGCTGTGCGGTGCGCGGCGCGACGTGCGCAAACCGTGCGCAAACCGCGCACCGACGTGCGCCGCAACTATGGTACTTAGTCATTGAAGGCTCTTGAGTCATGTGTGCTAAATTCAGTAGTTCTTGCATCATTGAAGGCACTTGAGTCATGTGCTAAATCCACTAGTTCTTGCACCGTGTTCTTATCCGCAGCCCCATCTGATGCTCTGCTTGTGTGGGGATTTCATGCACCTGATGTCCAAACCCGAATTGATCTAATCACATAAAAAACAGGGCAGAGGACACACGGGTTGTCAGTTCCTGTGACACAGTAAGCGCATGAGCATTCTGTTGCGTTGTGTGAGGATTAAGAAGCAGATGCAGCAGGAGCATCAGCAGGGAAAGTAATGCTCAATCAGGAGGTTCTGACGACTACATGCGCTGCAAAAGAAAATCAGTGGCCTAAGGAAACAATTCCTCCATCTGTGTTTTATGCTGCCATTGTGACAGGTCAGAAGGATTCCATCAATTTTGGAGGAAACTACGGAGAACTCCCTCCCACCTCGCAGAGGTACAGTTTTATTCTGTGACTAGATTTTGGAATCGTTTTTGCAATATCACCTTTCATGACTGGCATAGGTCGACACCAGTTTCTTTTTTGAGCTTTGCCTTATTATCCTGTTGCCGTCAGAATCACGTCTCTTGAAATTCCTTACCATTAAAGCGATCCATAATGGGATGGGGTCATGGCTTTGTTTGTTTTTCTTTTCTGTTCTTTTGTCAACAGTGAAATGTCTGCGGTTTGCCCTGGTTGCCGAGGTGCACGACCATCGGGTGGCAATTGGAGTTATCTCACTGCAGTGCATTGGTGGCAGCTATTACCACCAGCTTGCAGCCTTTGCTGTAACTAGGTGCGGCCTATGCCTGTCGGTTGATGTGCATCGTGCATTGTGCGGGTGGATGGAATAGATTTGCAGATACATGGAGTTTCACACCAGATGGGATTTGTAGTTTTGTGCAGAGAAGAGTGATCTCACTCACCTACAACTACTGTCTGCTTGCTACGTTTTCACCCAAATAGAACGCCCGGTCATTTCAGCTGCATTCGGTGCGACTTTCAGTCTAGATGGGGCGATAATGACCAGGCGTTCTATTCGGGTGAAGACTGTAGTTATAAGAGCGACAAGACTGCGCTATATCTCTTTCTACTGTTGTTTGTGTGGATGTGTGTGCGCATGCACCCACCTGCAAAATTCAGGTGACAAAAGCATATGATGTGATGCAAGCGTACGTCTGAACTAAAAAGATGAAAACATAGTGGGTGGGGAGTGTTGCATGCATTATGAGGGGCACATGATACTTACCACGCGAATGGGATCAGCAGATGTTGTCAAGTAGGGTCAGAAGTTGTTTTGCACACAAATTAGGGGAAAGGGTGCGGACTGTTGAGGGGGATTGCAGGACACTGTATGCAAAAGGAAGATCCGATGAGGAGGGGGGTGGGGGTAAGGGAGAGTGCAAAGGAGGGTTGCAGGTGAAGTGTTGTGGGGGGCAGCAAGAGGCTTTGCAGGCATAAATTAGGGGAAGGGAAAGTTGCATTTGAAGAACGGGCAGTCGAACTGGTAATGGGGTTGTGATCACGAAGTGAGAGTGTCATGGGGTTCAATCTACTTTGTGCATGAAGGGGAGGATTGCAGGCGAAGTGCCAAGAGGGGGGAGCAAGATGCTTTATAGGCAGGGTTGCATGCCTGCCGACCGCCGACCCCGAGCGTCGACCATTTTGCAGCCGACCAGTAGGGCCTACCGGTCGGCGGTCTGCTGACCAGTCAGAGAACAGCGATCCACTGATTTTTTCCAAATCTGAGTTAAGGGCTGTACTGCGCTTGCTGAGTACATCCCAAATCCGCTAAGAAATGTTTGGGGATGCGCGGAGGTAGGGAGGGGGGGGTTGGGGGGGGGTATAGGGGATGTTATAAGAGGAATCAGGGTAGTTAATTAGTGTCTTGGGGGGCGATTGGGAGGTGTTGAGGGGGTGTATAGGGGTATTAGGGGTGGCTGAGGTAGCCAGACTTGCCCCTCCCTTCTACATATTTTAAGGGCAGAGAAAAAAAAGTTAAACCACCAGTACCTACCGGTTGCGGAGGCCCGACCCTGAATATGCCCTGCACGCCGATTTTCACCGAGCCTGCTGGGGGGTGGGAAAAATACGGGACGTCTGTTGCTGCAAGCAGGTACCGCCCCTTATGCTGGACCTGCTGCCAGCAGATGGAACGTAAACAGGCCGATGTTTTCTTGTTTCCACTCAGGTGATGAATGCTCCCCGTGTCTGACGGGGAGCGAGTTCAGAAACAGCCAAGGATCTTCTTCCAAAAAAAAAATAAACAAAAAAAGGGGGAAATCGGAAACCAGGCTCTGAACGTGATTGCCCTCAGATTCATTGACAGTGGTGCACAAGTGAAGCCAGATACATTCGTGAAAGTTGCAACGTTACACTGTGCCCTCGAATCAAAGGGCTGGCAGGTAATGAATGCTCCCCGTGTCTGACGGGGAGCGAGGGCAGAATCAGCCAAGGACCTGTTTCCAAAAAAAAAAAAAAAAAAAAAAAAAAAA